TTCTTCCCCCTCAAGTTGTCCTATTTCTTTCTTTCCTTTGCACCACCAAGTTTTGAGCCAGCTACCCAGTCCCTCCTGTCTTGGTACAATTTGGCTTCCTCATCCCTCTTCTGAAATTCTACTCCCCAAGGATACCTATGACATTGGAATTGTTTTCCCCAGTATTCCCTTCAAGTGGTCTCTAAAATGACCAGAGGGAAGGGATAAAAATAACTATTAGAAATTAATTTCAATTTGTTTAAAAAAAAAAAAAATATATATATATATATATATATATATATATATATATATATATATATATATATATAAAATATGTTTTTATTGACTTCAGAGAGGGAGAGGGAGATGGAAAATCAATGATGAGAATCATCAATCAGCTGTCTCCTGCATCCTCCCCCTCCACGGCAGGCTGAATCTGAAACCTGGGCATGTGGCCTGACCAGGAATCAAACCATAACTTCTTGGTTCATAGATTGACGCTCAACCACTGAGCCTTGCCAGTGGGGCTTCAATTTGTTTATTGAACTATTTACACTTAAGTTTTTGTTTTAAAAAAATATATTTTCATTTAATGCTTGTATATGGTTTATAAATAAGCATGACTAGTATACATATATGTAATTTATAAATACTCAAACATACACTAAGGATATATGTATGTTAAAGACTTGTTACTGAAGGGGTACATTTAAAAAAAATGTTTGGAGATCACTGGGTTTTAGAATAAAGTTCAAATCCTTTATTATGGCACTCAAGGCTGTTTATAATTTAGCCTCAAATGATTTAATGGCTTCCTCCACCTCCTCTCCCTCCATTGACCACAGGCCATACTCTCACTACAATGAGCTACTATATAGCTTCCAATTGTACCAAAGCATCAAGTTTTAATTCATTTTGTACATAACATGTTCAATCAAATCTGTTAGACCCAGCAAGTTTCAGGGATTCCTCATAAATGACTTGCCTTGGTGTGTGAGGGGCCAGCCCAATGATTCACTCCTTTCTTGCCTGATGCAAACTTAATTTGTGCTTATTATTTTCAGGAGACACTTAACCCATCCCTGGGTCTTCAGCAGGGCCTCCTTTACCTGTCTTGGCCCCTCAGTCCAACTGTGTTAGCTTATTTAGTATACATTGCTTTGTTCTCTACCTTTTAATCTTTCTCCTGTGCCCAAATATATTGTGGGCAGAAGTGGGCTCTGTGCAATCTAAAGCATATTTAAGTTTATTGTGTTGTGCTTTTGCTTTAAATGTATGCCATTATTCCCCCCCCTCCCCCGCCCCCCCCAGCCCAGGAGGTGAGTACTTTTACCACCCTTTTGTACTGAAGTGGAATAATTTGCCCAAGGCCACAAGTAGCAGTACTCAAAATTGAACTCAGGTTTTACTCCAGAATCTGGGCTTCTTTCAGTGATGATGTGAATGTAAAGTATATGGAAGACCCCAATCTTACCTCCAGGGACCCTCAGAACCAGGCCTGTACCTCGGGAAAAAAGGAGCCGATGCCCTGTAGAGAATAAGTCTCAACATATACTTACCATGGATAAAGTTCTCCTTCCAGCAGAATTCTTCCCATCAGGGATCTCCCAGTGCCTGGGGTTTGAGCTACAATTTGGCACTTAATTGTCTATTGTCTTGTACTTTTGTTTCTAGTGTATATTTGCCTAATGATCCTTTTCCTTCTCTCAGCAGGCCCAGCCTGGTCCCACTGGCTGAGGTGGACATGAGCCTTCCAGCAGGGTTTTCCTAATTCACTGGTGAAGAGAATCAGTGGCCCTCAAACCTAAGTGCCTTTTGGAGTTTTAAAAATGCAGCCTAAATTTGGGGCAGAAACTAAGAATCCTCATGTTTAACACCGAGGTCATTCTCAGGACTTAGCCAATGGCTCAGCCTACATTCCTGCCTTTGAGACTGCCCCATTTAGGCAGGATTATTTCCCGGTATAATGATTTCTCTAAATATTGCACACAGCTGAAGAATTAGGAGCTAGGCCTCTTTTGTTTCTGGATACGCCACTTGGCAGGTGTAATAACATCCTCTGACAGGCTGCTTGCCACAGGTGCCTGCTTGACACGTGTGCCCCGCTGGTACCATCCCCCATTCATTCAGTCCTGCAGCCCAACCAAAACCCTTCTATCCCTACCACCACCGCCTCTAGCAGATGCCCTCTTCCAAATTCTCAACCCACCCTTGCCCCTTTCCCTCCCCGCAACCTCAGCCTCTCCCTTCCTCCCCAGCCCCCCCTCCGGGTCCCCTGGGGCTCCTCCCACCTCAGAACATTTTTTTGTTCCTAAGTTTTCCAGTGAGATTGGGGGTGGGGATGGGGCTGAGACCAGAGGACACAGGGCCATTCAGAGGTCCTAACGAGTGGGCATACTTTTTCCATGTAAGAAAGCACGTTTTCTACCAGAGAAACGGGCAGAGGCCTCTCTCTGGAACTTGGGTGGAGGGAGGAAGGGAGGGATGTTACTCTCCCAGCGACACCCTATGTCTCTGCAAATATCCCAAAGCAGGCCCAGCCTGCAGTGTTCCTTTGTTGGGACGGAGAGGAAATGGAATCTCACCAATAAGATGCAAAGGGCTCGAGAGGATACCAAGGACGGGCCCACGTTTCTCCCTGCAAATGCCTAACGCTAAAGGGAAGGGGGAAAAAGGCACCAACAAAGAGTGTAAGATCGCAGTTCCCAGCTTTTTCAAATACGAAGCATTTTTTTTTAACCAATCCACTTTTTAATTTTTAAATTCTTGACATTACAGAACTAAACTGAAATTTCTTAACATTCCACTCTTACATTTCTTTTTGACAAACAGAAATAAAATCCATGAGCCAAAAAAACCCAAAACAAAACTAAAAACAGGGAAAAAGCTTATAAAACTAAATATGGATCCCAGCATTAACAGCTGAACAGAGAAGGTGATTTTTAAATTCTTAGCAGATGATAAAGTTGTGTAGAAACTGAACACTTACAAATTATTTAAAACCTGGAATCACTGACCAGAAATTACACATTTGGATCATGGGAAAAACAGCAGAAAGAGGTTATGAGTGGACCTACACCGTTCTAGCTGCACCCCATGCCCTTCTCAGAGGAAAGCCTGGCATTGATTAGATATTGGGCCAGACTAATACTGGCAGCAGAACCAGTGATAGTAACCTGCCTACCAGAAGAGCCTTCCACCGGGTTGGCAATTTTGATCTGGGCCCCGGACATCTGGCGGATCTCATTGATGTTGGCGCCCTGGCGCCCGATGATGCAGCCAATTAAGTTATTTGGAATGGTGAGTTCATGGGTGGTTTGAGTAGATGCATCCAAACTTGCCCAATAGCCTTTCACCTCCGGAGAGCTGGAGTCAATTCCGGCGAATCCGGTCCCGCCGTGCATCATGGCAAAGTGGGACTGTTGTCTTGCCACCTGGTTCAGCTTGGCCAGATCGAGCGGAGAAATGGTGTGTTGTCCTTGAATCGAGTAGGCGTCTAGCGGTGGTCCCTCCAGGTCGTGGGTGGCGTGGGGGTAGCCCGCAGCGTCGCTGCACCGATCTTGGCCGCCCGCGCAGATGACCGGAGAGCTGGCCGGCATGGGCTGGTACGGAATGGTCATGACTCTTCCTTGCGGAGACTGGGAGAGCGTCTCCAGCATGACCAGGCAGATCTGCTTGACACACTCGGTGACAGACTGCGGCACGCCAGCGATGGTGATGGCCCGCTCGGTGGAGTTGGGCAGCATATCGCCCGCCACCTGGACTTGGGCCCCGGTGCTCTCGCGGATCTCTTTGATCTTGCAGCCGCCTTTCCCGATCAGGGAGCCGCACTGGGTGGCCGGCACCACGAGCCGCAGGGTGACCGGGGGCCTGCTGGCCGCCGTGCTGTTGGTCATGGAGCTGTTGATATCTTCCTCCAGCTTATCGATGATCATAGCGAAGGCCTTAAAGATGGCATTGGTGGGCCCGGTGAGAGTGATGATTCTCTCCGGGCAATTCCCCTCCGAGATGTTGATCCGCGCGCCACTCTCCTCGCGGATCCTCTTAACCGACTCCCCTTTCTTCCCGATGATGCTGCCCACTTCCTTTCCGTGCATCAGCAGCCGAATGGTGAGAGTCACATTTAGTCCACTTTCAGTCACACCGGCATCCATGGCGAGCGGCGGGCGGCGTTCGGGGGAGTTGGGCTCGTTACGTGGTCAAGTCTTTGGTGGCTGGCGCGGGGGGAGGGGAGGCGTAGGCCCAAAACTGCCGGCGCGAGGCGAGCGAGGGCCGCGGGAGCGAGCGGGCGCGGGCGGGAGGCCGCGGCGTCGTCGCAGGGGCGGGCGGCGGCGGCGGAGGGGGCGAGCGGGGCCGGGAGCGGCGGGCAGGCGGGTGGGCGAGGGCGCGGCGGTGGCGACTCCGGCGGCAGCCTCGGCGGTCTGGGCGGGGCGGGAAGCCCGCTTTCAACCTCGCGTACCCTCTGACCCCGGAAGTGCTTGCCGCGCAGGACCCCTAGAAAAAAAATGAGGACCCGTCTTTTTTAGGTCGCGAGATTGCGCCGGACTCCAGATGGTAGTATTACAAAATTTTTTTTACCCACCTAGCCTTGAATATAAAGCTCCGATGGGCAGACACTGTGAGTCCGGCAAATTTTTAAAAACACATATTTATTCTATTAACCCTAGCGGCACCAGTAGATGGTTGGACATGTTAGTATTGTGAACGGGGACGACACGTTATTTTGCCGCCCGACAAAGGGAGTTTGGGCCAGGAGGAACAAGGGCAGGCCCGGCGGTGACTGCAGGCGGCAGCTGGGACGCCGCGGATTTAAAACGTGCGCGTAAGGCGGCCACAGCGCGTGCGCGAGGGTGCGGGGGGAGCGGGAGGGGCCGCGCGGCCTTCCGGGGGGGAGGGGAGGCGAGGCGCGGCCTCGGGGCGGGCGCGCGGGCGGGCACGTGGGACTCCTTCGTCCCCGGCGTCTGGGCGCGGGGCGCCAGCCGCCACCCGGCCTAGGCCTCGGCCCCGTGGCCGGTGAGGAAAAAGACCGAAACCCACCCCCAGCCGCCGCCCAAGTTGCGGCTCTGCTCGTGGTTTCTGGCAAGTGCTAGAAACGTGGCCCAGAAAGAATGGCGTCCATTTACATAATGCTTTGTTTGCGTTTTGCAAGTTTCTTTCGGTTAAACCCGCAGAAACCCCACCTCCTGCCCTAGTGGCGCTTTAAGATGTGGCAGCCCCTTCAGCTACTTAAGACAATGGCGTGCCTCTTGACTCGTGGGGGCGCCGAGCCGAGCTTTGGGAGAGCCCCCAGGGCGTCCCCCTCCCGGCTCAGGCCGCCCTTGCCCCGCTGGGTGCCGCCGCCGCGCCCCGCGCTTTCCGGGGGCGGCGCTCGCCCGGCCGCCATCTTGGGAGGCTTTTCCTGCCGCAGGCGCTGCGGCACGTTCCTTCCTCCAAAGAAAGGCCGCCGGCGCCGCTGAGGTGCCGGTTATGGCGTCTGCCCCTCGCCCTTCCCGTCAGCTAAGCCGGACCGAAAAGGCTGTTTGCGCAAAGCGCCTCAGGCTCCCTCAGGGCGAGCGGCTAACGGCTGACTCTCTGACCCCCCCTTCTCCGTCTCCTTCCTCATGGGGGCGGCCGCCATTTTTCCTCAACACAAAATGGCCGCACGTGGTCCGGGTTCGGCGCCAACGAGAAGTCGGGGTTATCGTGAAAGCTCTAGAATGCGTCCCCGTCGCCCTCCCCGCCCCCACCCCCGGTGCCTGTGGTCGGGGCCGTCCCTGCCCCGCGAGTCCCCGGACCCTCACACGGCAGTCCCCCCGGGGTGGGTGGGGGCGGGTTTTAATGCGGTTCTCGTGATTTTTGTTTTTTTGTTTTTTTTTTGTTCTCGTGATTTTTGAACCGGGAATCGGAACTGTAAAATGTAGGCATAAACACCGAGTCTGTCGCTCATTTTAAATTTGATGCGAGCTACCCACAGCGCTGGGACCCCCGGGAACAAAGCGTTTAGAGATCCCTGCCGGGAGGAAGGAGATGGGAATGTCTGCCTGCCTAGTCCCGCTCAGGCTGGGCTGCTGGGCTGGGAAGTCCGAGAAATGGCCTTAGAAATCCTTCAGACAGACAGTTGCATCGAAGCGGCTAAGATGTCCATGGCCCCCCCCTCCCCCCTTGGGGGGGGGCAGGTTGGACAGGGACTCTCCGTTTGCCACAACTGGGGTCACTTTGAGCCTAGACTCAGGGGACAGGCGTTGACTGTGCACGGACCAGCGCTAGGTCTGGTGCCAGGCATTTTACTGCAAACCGTCTGGTTTTTATTTACCATGATCCTCTGAGGTAGGTGCTATTATGGTGATCTCTCTCTCTCTCTCTCTCTTTTTTTTTTTTAAACAGATGGATTCCCTTAGGCACAGGGAGATGAAGTGATGATTCATCCAAGGTCACAGTGTCAAGGATGGAATCCAGACCTTTTTTCCTTATGGGTGAGCACATTTCCAAGTTTTTCTGTAAATTAGAATTTCACAATTTAAATGCTGTCTGAGCGTTTAGGTGAGCTTGTCGTTTCAAGGAATCCCCCCAGGTAGCCTTTTGGTGGGTAGTTTCCCCCCGTTTGTGCTTATTTGGGGATCCCTGGTGGTTCCTGGTGTGAGCTACACCTGTGATGGCCTCAGTGTTGTTTTTTTATGAGGTTTCTGGGTGAGGGTAGGGAGGGGAAGTGATTCAGCCCTGCACAAAGGCCCACGTATCTGTCAGTCCTGCCTCGTCGGTGGCACCTTGGAGTCTACCTGGCTCTAGGGAGCACGCAATTTCTCTCCATGACTCACTTGCTTCCTTTAGCTACCAATGGCTATGACTTCGCCTTCCCCACCCTAACCAGGTAAAAATAAATAATTTTACACTGGCGCCACGTCTTCTTTTCTCTGCAAATATTGACAGAGCATGACAGATACCATGTCGTCTGTGGACTCCTCAGTTCAATGTAATAAATTACTTGTGGACCAGGCAACACACCTGGTTCTGCCTGTGTGGGTGTTAGACATGGAGAGAAGGGCCTTTTTCTTCCTCTAACTCACATTCACATCACATTTCCAGATGCTCCAGTGCTGTAACACTGCCCCTTGCATACTCCTACAGACACCTTTACACAGGCAGGTGCACCACAGCAGCAATGACGATAATAGCACTCAGTGCTTACTATGTACCAGGCAAGGTTTGAAGCTTTATTTTCTTATTTTTATTTTTAAAAAATATGTTTTTATTGATTTCAGAGAGCGAGGAAGAGGGAGGGAGAGATAGAAACATCCACGATGAGAGAGAATCATGGATCGGCTGCCTCCTGCAAGTCCCCCACTGGGGATGGAGCACACAACCTGGGCATGTGCCCTTGACCAGAATCGAACCTGGGACCTTTCAGTTCACAGGCCGACGCTCTATTCACTGAGCCAAACCGGCTAGGGCTCGAAGCTTTATTTTGTGTTAATTCAGAGGTTCCCACTTTTCAGAAGCAAACCACTGTAAGGAAAACATTTTACGTAATAACAGACATATATGTACCATGTATATATAACAGAAACAAAATTTTTGTAAAATGGTACTTATCCTTTACTACTTGCAATATATTTGGGTAATTTAAAAAAATATGTTTTATTGATTTTTAGAGAGATAGGAAAGGAGAGAAAGAGAAACATTGATGAGAGAGAAGAAGCATCTCTTGGCTGCCTCCTGTATGCCCCATACCGGGATCAAGCCCTCAACTCGGGCATGTGTCCTCGCTGGAATCTGAGGACAAGTGCTGACGCTCAACCACTGAGCCACACTGTCTGGTGATTTTTGTTTGTTTTGTTAATCCTCACCAGAGGATATTTTTCCCATTGCATTTTCGGAGGGAGGGAGGGAGGGAGGGAGGGAGGGAGGGAGGGAGGGAGGGATCCTGTGAGACACAATGACTGAGAGAGAGAGGGAGGGAGGGAGGGAGGGATCCTGTGAGACACAATGACTGATTGCCTCCTGCACCCAGTCAGGGCAGGGAACTAACTCACAATCCTTCAGTGCTTAGGCTGATGCTGCAACCACTGAGCACAGGGCTACTCCGATGGTTTTTATTTTTGCCTTTACATTAAAAATCAGGGTACATGATAGTGGCCTAGTTTGGCTCAGTGGATAGAGTGTCATCTTGTGGACTGAAGGGTCCTGGGCTCTATTTCCAATCAAGGGCATGAACCTCGGTTGCAGGCTCCTCCCCAGCTGGGGCCCTAGTCAGGGCAAGTGCAGGAGACAACCAATCAATGTGTTTTTCTCACATCAGTATTTCTCTCTGTCTTTCCCTCTCATTCTTTCTAAAAAATCAGTGGAAGCCGAAACCAATTTAGTCAGCCTATGGACTCAAGGGTCCCAGGTTCAATTCTGGTCAAGGGCATGTACCTTGGTTGCAGGCACATCTCCAGTAGGGGGTGTACAGGAGGCAGCTGATCGATGTTTCTCTCATCGATGTTTCTAACTATCTCTCTCCCTTCCTCTCTGTAAAAAAATCAATAAAATTAAAAAAAAATTCTAGCTGTTTAAAAAAAAAAATGAGTGGAAAAATATCCTTGGGTGAAGATTAAAAAATAAAAAAATAGGGCACATCAAAGCTAAAGGGATGAAAAACCCATTGTGAGGTGTTACTAAAATGGTTAATGTACATATATAATTCTCACAAAACCTCCTGAGTTCAATGTAATAAATATCTTGTAGGCCAAGCAACAAATATGTGCCTAAGCAGGGTTCCATCCTGAGATGGGAGTGATATTTCCTTTTCACAGAGGTACAGAGAGCTAAAGGATTTAATCTAAGGTCACATAGCTAGTAAAGCAAGGATTTCAAGCTAGGAATCGGGGCCCAGAGCCTGTATACTTAACTCCTAAAGAAGAATTGTTCTCTGTAGAGGGTCTTATCTTGTAGGAAGATAGTTAGTTAGGGAAGTAGCAGTATTAGTAAACGTTAAGAACTTAAGAGACAACAAAAGGACTAAAATACATATAATCAAGAATTATGATTCAAAGCATCTGCCACCTATTTATTTTCCCTAAAGAAAATTTTATCCATTGGGTCTTTCTTCTCAGGACTGCCTGTTTTAGGTCTTTTATGCCTGAAATATTCTCTTAATTTCTTAGCTGAATACCTTCAGGACACTCTCTACCTCCTCATTTACCTAGTTCTTAATCTGCCCATTGCCTCCAGAGTCTTATACCTCCTCCCAAGAATAGCCTACATATGGCTGTTTATTCAGTTGTAATAAGTCTTGGTTTTGATAATGTGTTGTGCAGGCCACAGGTACCTTGGTGACCCTGAGATCTGGCAAAAAGGGCGCTGGACTATTCTTCACAACTTCTGCAGCCACCACCCATTTTACAGATGAAGCCACTGAGATAATGGAGCAACTGACTAAATAGTCACCACCCTACCTCTGGAGCCTCACATATGACTCTTCTCCTCCCACTGAGTGACTGCAGGTTGGTTAAGGGGTTTAAGGAGGCTGGGGAGGTGAATAGGCTTAAACTCTTAAAAATTGAACCACAGGATTTATACTCCATGGTACTCCTCCTGCCTCACCATCCCTCCTACCATTGATTCAGAGGAAGGATTTTCACTTCCTCTTACCTCACATTGGCTTATTATTAAACAAAACCTTTCAGAGTGGTGTCATATTATTTAATTATCACTGGCAATGTTTCCAGAAAGGTATTATTCTGCCTATTTTATGGAAGATCCATTTCTGGATCAGAGTAATGAAGTGACCTGCTCAGGTTTACACATCTTATTAGGACCTGTGCTGAGCCTCTTGACTCCTAATTGTGGATTGTTCCTTTTCTTGTCTTCTCATGTTTGTGACACTGACTTGGATAGGTGGAATATCTCTATTTTAAACTCGGAAAGCTTTCCATTCAGTCTTTTTTTCTGTTTCAGAACATCCAATCCTTATTTTCTAATGTTTACACTTATGGATTTGGGGAGTGGTGGGCATGATTCCTACTCTTGGATTCCCATGGTTTCTTTTTCTTTTCCCTCTTCACACTTAGCTTCCCATTTCTCTTTTATTTAAAATAGAGGCCCAGTGCACAAAATTTGTGTACAGGCAGGGTCCCTAGTGGCTGTTGGCCCCGGCCGGGGCCTCTCTATCGCCAGCTGCCTGCTGCCGCCACTGTTGGCCAGGGCTAGCAGGGGGGAGGCTGTGGGTAGTTGGCCAACCCGCCCTGCCCCCTGGTCGAACTGGATAATTTGCATATAATGCTTTTATTATATAGGATTACAGTAAATTAAGAATCCTTTTCTCTCATTACTTTCAGAGTGCAGCCTAGAAATGTCATTTCCACTTTGTGTGGATAGTAACAATTTGACCGTATTTGCTGGTGATCCTGCATTGCTGTTAAGGGGTCGGTACTTGTTTCCTCAGAAACAGAAGAAATATATTGGTGTGCCTTACAGAAGTGATGAGGATATACAGCGATATCCTTGGCCTACGTTCGCCCAGTTGGGCAAAGCAATGCCCATGGATTGTCCAGAGTCACTGAAATAAGGGATGGAGAAGGGAGTACAGAAAAAAGTTAAAGGGGAGATAAGAACAGATACCTAGCAAAGGGAGAAAGGAAAGGAATGTAAGAAAAGGAAAGAGAAAATAATAGGGCAGAAAAGAGGAGAATACAGGATTAGTGGAAGGGAGGTGATAAGAACAATCCAGAGGTCCGTTAACCCCTCCTGCATTGTGGGAAGCATAGGTTGCTGTCTTGCACCGAGGAAGAGCCGCTGGTATAATAACTCCTCGTGGAGCTGATCTTGAGCAGTAAATCTCTCTCTTTTTAATTTTTTATTTCCAGTATCAGATGGGGAAAATTTTTTTGTTTTTGCTATCAGCTGGGGATGCGATTAGATGCCAGTCATTTTATTTTATTAAAAAATATTTTTTATTGAGTTTTTTATAGAGAGGAAGACAGAGGGATAGGATAGAAAGCTAGAAACATCGATCAGCTGCCTCTTGCACACCCCCTACTGGGGATGTGCCTGCAACCAAGGTACATGCCCTTGACCGGAATCGAACCTGGGACCTTCCAGTCTGCAGGCCGATGCTCTATCCACTGAGCCAAACCAGTTTCGGCAGATGCCAGTCATTTTAATATCAGCATCAGTTCAATTAGTTTATTAAGGAAAAATGTGCTACAAAATCACATAAGGTATTCCAGGTCAAATTTCATTTTATTCATTCAATAAACACTGATTGCTTGATATATCCCAAACACTAAGGATATTCAAATGAGTGAGCTCCTGTCCTTGCCTTCAAGATGTTATGGTCTGGAGAGAGAGATACTGACTAGTAATTAGATTTACAGTACAGTGTGTTAAAGCATTAGGATATGAGTAAGCAGAGAGTGCTATGGGCTCAGAGGAGGAACCTTGATTCAATTTTGGAGGGGACCCAGGGATCTAGGCTGCCTAGAGAAGTTGACATTCAGGCTGTGTCCCAAATTGGCAAATTGCAAGGTGGAAGGCAGGGAAGGGTATTACAGGCAGAGAGAGCAAAGGCCCAAAGGCAGAGAGAGCACAGCTCCTTCAGAAGTTATAGGCATTTTAGGAAGGTGTGAACGATGTTTGCATGATCCAGTTATTGGTGATTATTGTTTTGCTTCAGAAATGTAGATTATTGAGACTTTACTGGGTAGAGCACAGAGTTAAAGTCCTTATTTTATAGCAGTAGTTCTTTTTTAAGATGAAGACACCAGAAATTTTATTTCCTGTCTTAGTGTAATGACAAATGTAAATAAAACACAGCTTTTGAGTTAGCAAATGATGGTTAACCTGCTGTGCAGTAAAAGGAAGAAGGTGAGGGCACAACATCTCTCTTTCTCAACCAAATTTTGAATTTGATTGTGTACTGCTTTGTTTTTAAAGGGTTATGTGGAAATTTAGGGTCTTGGCCATGATGTTTGAATTAAGGAACAGGGAAATGAATTGAAGAGTAATTACTACTTTGTGGCAGAACAAAATAAATACTTTTAAATAGCTGATTTATCTGATTTCGCCTACTGAGCATAAGCAAGATATAGTTGTTTCAGAGACAATTACTGGAACCAGACAAAGCATTTGTTCAGTATTATTCACTGTGTAAAATCTGTTGTGTCCAGATTAAGAGCATTGATTTTTTCTGTGTGTGTTGTTTTTTTCTGAGACACGGATATATCTACATTAAACAGAAATCTTATGTGTATTCATTGGCCAATACTGGGATTTTACTTGGATTAAAAGATAAGTGATGTTGTGTAGTAGGGAAGAACATGCTTAGAAAATAACACATATATCACTCAGTAATCATTTCTCAGTTGTCTTCTTTCTTGACCTCTGAGTAGCATTTGGCACTCCCTTCTTGCACACTAGTTTCACTTGACTTCCAGAGTGCCACTCCCATGGTTCTCCTCCTACCTTACCATCCCTCCTTCCTCCTTTTCAACCTTTCTCTCCACGCCCCACCCTTCACTCTTCAGCCTCCAATGATAGAGTACTCAGATCAGTCCTTGGATTCTTTCTCTGGCTATGCTCATTTCTTAGGTCCTCTATTTCAATACTTTAAATACTATTATATACGCTGGCAATTCTCAAGTGTATATTACTAGCTTGAACGTCTTCCGCTGAACTCAAGACTCTTATATCCTAGTGCCTACTGGATACCTCCACTTGGGTATCTGATAGCTTCTTGAACTTAACATATTTAAAAAATTGACTCTGAAACTTCTCCTCTCAAACCTCTATCTCTGGCAATTCATCCCCATCTCAGTTTCAGTTGTATTGAATGTATGGAGACCTCTTCCTTGACTTATTTTTTTTTCCCTTCTTACTTTCTTCATCCAGTACACCAGCAGGTCCTGTCAACTGTACCTTGAAATAATACATCCAGGATTTGAACATTTCACACTATTTCTTCTGCTACTATTAGAATAGTTTATAAATGTTTGTCCTCTTTTGCTCTTTTTTTTAAAAAAAAAAAAAAAACAACAACAACAACAACATATTTTATTGATTTTTTTTACAGAGAGGAAGGGAGAGGGGGAGAGAGTCAGAAACATTGATGAGAGAGAAACATCAATCAGCCGACTCCCGCACTGCCCCCTCCCCCCCCAGGATGTGCCCACAACCAAGGCCCATGCCCCTGACCTGAATCAAACCTGGGACCCTTGAGTCCCCAGGCCAATGCTCTATCCACTGAGCAGAACCGGTTAGGTCATCCTTTGCTCTTCTTAAAAATACATTTTAATTGATTTTTTAGAGAGAGAAAAAGGGAGAAGAGAGCGATAGAAACATCAATGAGAGAGAGATCATTGATCGGCTGCCTCCTGCTTGCCCTCCAAGGGAATTGAGCCCACATAGAGGGATAAGGAGAGAAAGATCTGTATGAATAAGACGTCGTTCCTGCTCTCACGTTTATTTCTTTTTAAAAAATACGCTTTATTGTTTTTTGTTTTGTTTTGTTTTTAGAGAGAAGCATCCATATGTAAGAGAAACATCAATAGGCTGCGTCCAGCCCCTCCTTTCCCATACTGGGCATCAAGCCTGAAACTTGGGCATGCGTCCTGACTGGGAATCTCAACCAGTGACCTTTTGGTGCGTGGACAACCCTCAACCAACAGACACACTGGCCAGGGCTGCCCTCAAGTTTCTTAATCTAAAAAATTATTATTATTATTTTTAAAAAATATATTTTATTAATTTTTTACAGAGAGGAAGGGGAGAGGGTTAGAGAGCTAGAAATATCGATGAGAGAGAAACATCGACCAGCTGCCTCGTGCACACCCCCCACAGGGGATGTGCCCGCAACCAATGTACATGCCCTTGACCAGAATCAAACCTGGGACCTTTTAGTCAGCAGACGGACGCTCTATTCACTGAGCGAAACTGGTTTCGGCAGTAAAAAATTATTATATTGACCAAAACAATGCTGTGTTCTCTAGTAGGATAAAATGCTACATCATTTTGAAATTGGGAAGGTAAGGACTGATGTGCAAGAGTATGGATGTCTTCAGAGACAAAGTCCTGCTTTATCAGACTTAATAATTTGCTGAAACTGAAAGAAAAAAATATGCTAAATTTTCATTGGAAATATTTGGTCTGTATGTAGCTTTCATAAAATTTACAGCAGAAAAAGTACATTTAGCCGAAACCGGTTTGGCTCAGTGGATAGAGCGTCGGTCTGCAGACTGAAAGGTCCCAGGTTCGATTCCGGTCAAGGGCATGTACATTGGTTGCGGGCACATCCCCAGTAGGGGGTGTGCAAGAGGCAGCTGATCGATGTTTCTCTCTCATTGACGTTTCTAGCTCTCTATCCCTCTCACCTCTCTGTAAAAAATCAATAAAATATATTAAAAAAAGAAAAAAAAAAGAAAAAGTACATTTACATATACAAGTTAAGCTAAAAGTTTTCAAAAAATAAGATTAGGTATAAGTTTTAAATTGATTGAAATAAAATACA